TTGATGTGTATTTGAATTTTACGATTTCAAAATGTAAGCAATGTTCAAGTGATAATTAACTTGAATTTTGTTGTGCAATTTTGGTCTGGAATCAAACTTGTGATTTTGCGATCCTTGCAATCTGAATGACTCTCACTGATGCAATTTATTTATGAATCGCACCACTTCTCGCTCAAAATTCATCTTTTCCCAGCCAATGAGGAACTTTACTAAAAACACAGTTACCAATCAGATTTCTAGGCTCGTTTATAAAAACCAATAATATGAGAGGAAAATGAAAGATCACCATGGCGACTCTTTACAAACCAGCTCAGTACTGAATTAATGAACTATTTTTACAGAACAAAAAGTCCTGTGTTTTGAGATTTCAAAATAGATGAACTGAATTGGTAATTGAACTTTCTGTCGAGGCTTTTTGGTCTGAAATGGTACTTGTGATTTCAAATCTTATCAGATACGGGGCAAAATTACTGAATGCTGATTGACTGAGATAGAGGGCATTTTTCTTAATCACGAGGGCACTTTTGGTAGTTAAGAGGGCACGATTACTTGATGCCGATTGAGCCCTTTTGCTGTTTGCGGCAAAAATTGACTGCAATTTAACGGAGTGAAGCTTTGTAACATTGTTGCCTGTATTTTGAGAATAAAATGTTCATTGAGTCTATTGTTCAGTTACGTTTGTTTCAACATTGAAAGAGCTTCATCGCGCGTAAATCTTGCGACCTGGCTAAAAAACCTCTCCTCTTCGAGTCATTAACCAAATAATGGCGCACAGACATATCCCTATTAGAATTAATGTGCATTAAAGATGGCCTTTTCAACTCACTTCACAACAGAGTCCTATAAGAGTAAAAGTGCTGATTTCTGAGCAAATAGTAAATGTATAGGTAACTTCCTCGGGAAAATTTCATATCGGAAGCTAAAAATGATCCGTTGTTTGACGTATTTGCGGTTTGAGGAAACGACTCTACACCTGTAATTTGTTTAATCCTGGACTGTACGGCCTTTTACGAAATGCGCCTTTGTTTTGCAAAGCGGGTGCGTGCGAAGCCTTTGATAAAAAATATATTTTTTTCTAGTTTAACTCATGCTTACGAAAATGATAGATTTTTTCTCAAAAGAGTGGCTTTACGCTTAGCCCCACTTCAAAAGTGTGCCTTTCTGGACCTTATTAATCATTAATTTTAATTTACAGGTTTAACATGCTGTGAAACTTGAAAGGTAACTAGTGAACCTAAAAGATCGTCAACCGATGCCCTGTTGGTAAACGGCAATGAAGAAAAGAATTTCAATAGCGACATAGATGAGCCTAGAAAACAACTTCAGCAAAAATACCAATAACATTACGAGCAGCAGCATCAACCCTGAATTCTTAGTGACGTGAACAAAACAGTCAGAAGTGAACCTGGCACCAAACGATGTACAAACCACACATGGAATACGAAAAGCTGGAAGCGGAACCTGGAGAAAGAACTTCAATCTGTAGCAGACTAACGTTTGGCTTTTTATCGAGTATTATCGAAACAGGAAACAAAACGATATTCCTTCCCTAGATGTTGAAAGCACCAAGTATTTGACTGAAAAACTGGAATTAGAATGGAAAAACGAAATTGAGATCGGTAGAGTCCGAAGTTCTAAACCTCGTTTGAGAAACGCAGTCCTAAGGGCCCTCGACAAATACTTACTTTCTCTGATTGTGCTACTAGAAAATTTAGAGTAGTTGTGTACAATGGTTCGGCCTGTCCTACTAAGCTTTCTCCTGGCTGAGATGTCCTATAATCCCCCCGTCGATGTGGGGATGCTGCTTGTTTATTCAACACCACTCTGTGTAAGCTGTTTTATTCAAGCTTTGGTTTCCCATCAAGGTAGTTATACCATGTTTCTGATGGCGGTTCACGTTAAAGCCTCCTTGATTGGCATAGTTTACAAGAGGGTAGGTGGATGCCGCTTAACTGTCAAAATAAGTTAAGCTTAACCAGCGAAGAAACTGTGAATAGATGTCGCATCTGTCATCTGATAAGCGAATATGTATTAGGCTAAAATCTAAAATTTTACCCATTTTACAATTAACAGCTAATTTCTTTCCGTTACCATATCAAGAGAGATTTTTACTGTTAACCTTTTTTGCAACTTTTTATTTCTCACGGCCAAATTTTTGGCCGTTCTATGGCTAACGTTAAACCCATGGAAATACTCGTTACTGATTGTGGATGATGTGTGTGATACGCTAAGAATTGTTCGGTGTGCATAAGCTTCTTGTATACGCCGGTGGTTAGACATCAGCCAAATTCTCTTGAGACTGCAGTGTCAAGGGAGGCGAAAACGTGGCGTTTCCAGATTCCAGAGTTGTGGAATCATGCGGATAAAGTTATTACTTGCTCTGAGAACTCTCCATATTTAGGTTTGCAATAACAGAGGAAACCGGAATGTAGTCGAGATGTCGCGATCCACATCGAAAACGATAACAATTCGAGACAAACGATTAAACTCCTATCACAAAATGTCATGAGTATTATCAATTTAATCTTGTTGCAACTGAACAACTTTTATCCACACTTCTTTTTTGCGGGTGTGAAAATGAAGAAAATTTAAAGTTGAACTTCACCTTATCATCAATTATCTTGTGCCTTTTCCTTTTCTTGCAGATTCTGAACACGCGCCATCATATTCTTGCTGAAAGAACTTCAGGGTATTTGATAAACTTGATCTCTAAGGACATGGTCCTGATTTTCCAAGTTTTCTCTAGCCTTAAATCGCTTTCTGCTCCTCTGGAGATACTTCCCGTTTTTTCTCTTTTGTGGAACTTTGTCGGCTGGCAAACATTTGCAGGTGTGATCTTTTCAATAGCTCACATCTTCTGTCAAGTGAATTTGGGAAACGTTTTCAAAAGTCTTCAGGACAAGGCCGCCAAGATGACGGACAAGAGACTGCGTCAAATGCATGACGTCATTTCTGGTATACGTGTACTAAAAATGAATGCTTGGGAATGGTGCTTTCATGATTTGGTTTCCGAAGTTAGGAGGTATGAGTTTCCTTGTAAAAATTAAACAGTTTATGGTTTTTATATGCTGATAACATCCTGTTTGAAAGAGAAAGAAAATTATAATCACTCGTCATGAGAGCTAGAAAAGCAGCCTAAGATATAAACACCGTAAGTTCATTTTGCATCTTTATATTCTCAAGTTTGCTAACCGTGACATGAAATTTCTATGGTATTACTTTTAGCTGCTTTTAGGTAAAGTCCTCCATTCGCAAAACTTATATACCGAAAAGTAATGAAAAAATCAGTCATCAAAACGTCGCAGTCCAAAATATACGATATACTTGCAACACATTGTGTCAGCTCGTGCTTTTTTCTTCAAGACTCACTCAATTTATCTATTAACAATTCTAACAAATTAACTCGGCAAGGTGGATAACTTTAAATACTGCGCCACTAACCTGGTTAAAAAATTGTTCTCAACCTTTTTCTCGGTTGTTTCCAGAGACTTTACTCTTCGTCAATTGTTCATTTTTCGGACGCTATTTTAGCCTCAGGTATCATTCTTCGATGTTAACACTCTTTAGAGAACTCCTTGAGCCTCTAAGGAATCGTAGAAGCTTGACTTTGAGGCAAAACATCAATCACAGAATTTGAAAGTAATGTCATGAGCGAGATTTTTCATTGTACGTCTCTACAATAATTGGGCCAATATCAAAGAAATATGAGACAAACTAGCCTGGCAGGCTGTTACTGGGAAGTACTTGCCTCTCGTTTAGTGAATCCATCTAAATACACCACCAGTCTAGCACTATTCCGATCAAATTCCTGAGTTCCAGAAATCTGTACCTTCTGAAATATAACTCTGGAATGGAAACGCGCACCATACGGGTAGGGAACCCTTTTGCATTCCCTCATAAGAAGCAAAGCTACCTTCTAACTCCAACTTGGGAATAACGACCTGACTTGCCTGTGAATGTTATAACCATTATCATCATATTCTGTTCCACTCAGATTAGAGTTCAACATTGTGTACAAGAAAGGAGTTATTTTAGCTGGTTACCTCTCGGCGTATTCCTGTTACCAAATGGGGTCCAGTTTTGTCGCTTTGTTTCCGTTTCTCATGGCCGGGAATCGCCTCACAGCTCAAAATGTCTTCACTACTTTGGCTCTGCTGGGTGCGCTCCAAAAACCCGTCACTGTTCTGTTTTTGTATGAGTTTTAAGCTCTTTTTAAAACATTTACAACACTTGAACGAGTAGAGTTGTTTCTTCTTGATAATGATTGCGATGCACCGGTATCTTCCTCTCAAAAATGGAATCCATCACAATCAAAGGACCTAACTGGCATAAGCGAAACGCAATTAAACGAATATCAGTTTTCAGCAGTGGAACCAACTTTTCTGACGAATTATGTTTGTAATAAAGGCAAACCGTTCCTTTGTTTAAACATAGTTAAACCCCGTCCAAGGGATTACTCTTTCAATTTAAGTCTATGCATTTCCGACTGTCAGTTGATTGGAATCACAGGCCCGGTGGGTTGCGGAAAATCGTGTCCTTTTTACTCTATCCTTGACGAAATACCATCAACTTGCGGTCAAATTACTCGTCACGGAAAAATTACTTACGTTTGCCAAACACCTTGGGTGTTTTCGGGAACATTCCGCGAAAACATCATTTTTGGAAAGGAGTTCAACCAAGATACTTTTGAAAAAGCTATTGAGGCTTGTTCGCTGAAGGAAGATCTGAAGTCTCTTTCCTGTGGTGATCTGACTTATGTTGGGGAACGCGGGGTACGCGGGGTAAGTTTGAGTGGAGGTCAGCGTGCTCGGCTAAACTTGGCACGCGCAGTGTATTCTGATGCCGACATCTATCTTCTGGATGATCTGCTTAGCTCTGTTGACGCAGAAGTGTCGAATGAAATTTTTCAGAGGTGTATCTGTGGCACTTTGTCCGATCGGATCCGACTGTTTATTACCCATCAAGCTCGTTTTCTAGGAAAGACAGATCTGGTTCTTTTGATGGACAAGGAAAGCAAGTTGACGAAAGGTATTTATAGAGAGCTTAGTGAATTAGATGAATTCTGTGAAATTTCTACAACAGCATCCTTTGCTAAATCAAACGATGGAGGCCTTTCTAGTAATCTGGTGCCATACGAAGCTCCGATGACAAAGACTGGTAACTCCTCTCGTTTGGAAATCGAGGAAGAAGATCGCCTGACTGGTTCCGTTTCCTATAAGATTTACTGGACGTACCTTGCATGCGGAGTGTCAAAGTTCTTCATAATGATCTGGGGAGCTTTAATAGTTTTACCTGAAGGTTAGTGAAATATAATCATTGCAGAAAACACTTGGCACATTTACGTATGAGACCTTATCTAGAAAGCAAATGGCACCATCTAAGCTATCTAACCAGGAGAGATGCTGGTTTAGGGAAAATTCAAGACAGTTATGCAGACCCAAGAGGTAGGAAAGGGTTTGGATAACTTTTGAAATTAGATGGAGCTAAGAAATTACGGGAATATACTTTATTACCGTTACAAATTATTCCCCATGGAAAACCCCGAAAACTAATTTGACAGACCCCTGCCCAACATAGGTAGCCCAACCTTGAACAGTCAGCCTCTAAAAATATGCAACTATGCTAGCTTTTGCGCAGTGGTAAAAATACAAGGATTTGTATGGGAATAAACGGTCGCACTCTCAACCAAAAATTCAAAAATAGTTTTACATAAAAACAAACTTACCTTGCTTAAGTGGTTGTTCCTTTTTATCTTGTGAGATGTTTCAGCTTAGTTAGCGCCTTTTAACTAGCTCGGTTTTAGTTGTATTTCGCCCATTGCGCAATGTAAACATATTTACATATTAACGGAGGCTCAATGTGCGAGTTTGGTCTACCTGTGGTAGTAACTAACATTTTCTTAATCAGTGGAGACCTCCTGAGATTTAAATTGCCTCACAGTGATAGATTCTAATTCATGGTTTTGATCCATGCTCCTGTTTGGCGTTTCCGTGTTTCTTCAGTCGATGTCGTCTACACTTTCACGTTATTGCGATTTATTCTATCTATTCTATAAACAGATGGTCAACACTGAAGTCGCCTTAAAATTGTTTGTCCTATCCCTCTAAGGTGTAAACAATAACTTCAAAGAAATATCCACCAATTTTGGTCAATTTGTTTGAAATCATCATTAATCGATCAAGCCTGGTATTTAGCAACATTTAGAATACCTCATGGAGAGTCTGCACGTATGGTATTTGAGTGGTTTAGCAAGAGGACGAGAACGTTATTTCAGAACGGCACGCCCAGCAAAAATGTCGATAAGAAACTGGGTCGAGAACGCCCTCGAGTTGTGTTGAAAAGTGATTTAGCAGTCGTTGCAATGAGAATCATCACCTCGGCTCTCTAAAGATCACCATCACTTTTGAATTTTCGGTTTTATAGACCACTCTAAGGACAACGAAATTATCTTCTTTGAGAGTTATGTAACAAGAGCAAACAGATTATAGTTCTAGATACGGCAAGTAAGTTGTTAACTATGAATCCACATGGGCGATTAAACTTTGAAACTAGTCCATTTCAGTTTAGTCTCGAGTCTGCTGATTCATCTGTCAAATTTTGAAGCCCGCTAAATAGTTTTTTTCTATGATTTGTGTCGCTGTCATTTAGTTTCGTGCTACTAGAATTCAGCACTATTCGTTTTTCTTTATAATTTTGTAAACGATAATTTGGAAATTGTCGTCGTTTTTCCCCATGTTTACTGAATATTCTTCTCAATTATGACAGAACATCTCTTGTGAGCACCACCTTGTTAGAGTTGAAATGCATTTTGAACGGAATTATCAAGAGTTATGGCGAAACCATGTAGAAATCAAGCGACCCAAAGGTGGAGTTGTTTACGATGAGTTCCTATTTATCCGTGAAAGAATGAAATTAACTCAAACTAGTCATCAACGAAACAGTTAGACTTAGGAGTAAAACTTCGTTCCTGTTTTATTATTTTTTTCGTTTTTGTTTAATTTAATTTTTTTGAAATGAATGAAGTCGTTCAAGACTGAATCAAATTAATAGATTTAGAAAGCCGTGCCGAAATCAAGTTGATTGTCATTTTATTTCGAAGCGAGAGCATGACTTTCTTGTCTTAGTTTTCACCGGCGCTGATACAAAATTTCAAAGATAAAACAGTACATACCTGAGCTATTCTCAATTTTTTTTCATCTCTGACTTCAATTTGCAGAAAAGTTTTCAATCACGGTAAAAACGGTAGTAACAACAAATAACACTGAATAATACAGTAGGTAAGCGTCACGATATTTCATTTTGATAAACTTCACCATGAAGCAAGTTTAATTTATTGATGAATTGATTCATGATAAAATCAACAGCGTCTCATTCTTAGAGTTTCACTACAGCATTAAAGAAATGTATCAAAGAATAACCCTTTGGCTGTTTTAAGCCTTGCTCAATTTCAAGTGTACTGAGTCCTAAAATCTTGGATCCGGCGCTTGCCAACGATTGTGTTTCCTTTCGGGAATTCAGCATAAATGAAGCGGTAAATTTTCCCAAAATACACCGAATAAACCAAAGGAAGGGACCAGGTTATCCTGGAAATAAGTTCTGAAATAATTCCAAACAGTATTATCTCGTTTATAAGCGCAAAATTTACGCAAATCCCAGGCGTTTTGATCGTGATGGGAAAACCAGCGTAATGACGTCCTGAACTTGTTGGGGAGAACGGCAACGCTAACACCGGAAGTCAAAATAGAGTCGTGTCCAGACTATCCGCGCGCTTTCCCGTTCTGAAATGACGTTCCCGTCCTCTTGCTAAATCACTCTGTTTACGTGCGAGAAGGTGGTATCGGAAATCGAATGAGTGGGAGCAGTGAACGAGTGAGATTTCTGAAACATATGGTGATTTTGTTGCATGTTTGAATAGGTAGTCAGAAGAAGGTTCAGTTTTTATGGGCTACCCCGCCGTTGAATAACAATGATTTTTTGTGTGTGCTGAAGTGGTTATAAGATGAATAAATAACGCATGTAATTTAAATTAATTTACCTACCAAAAGAAACTCATGCGCTCGAAACTGTCCATTTCCTTGTTGACAGGAGCTGTTTTAGCTTCCAGCCTTTGGCTTGCATATTGGACAAAGCAATCGTGGGAAGATCAGCAGAAAGCTGAAAACGCTTATGTCTATATCTGTCAAGAGAGTGGCTGCTTCATCTTCGCTTCAATGCGCTCCTTTCTTTCCTTCTACGGAATGATCAAGAGTTCTTCCGGCCTGCATGCCGCCATGCTGACTTCATTGTTGAAAACTCCCGTTTCTTTCTTTGATGTGAATCCAGCTGGTCGTATCTTAAATCGCTTTGCTAAGGACGTTGGGTGTATGGATGAAGTATTGCCTTATGTCCTTTCAGAGTCTGTTCAATACGCCATGTTCACCATTAGTATTTTGGTTTTGATATCTGTTGTTAACGTGTGGATCATTGGAGCAAGTGTGCCTTTCACAGTCCTTTCGCTGTATGTTAGCAAACGCTATATAATCACAGCACGTGAGATCAAGAGAATCGAAGCCATCACGAGCAGTCCAGTATGCTCACACGTGACAAATACAATTCAAGGCATCACGACGGTTCGTGTGTACAAAAGAAAAGGAGTATTCCTGGATCGTTTTTACAGGTAACTTAAAGCTTTATTGTAAGATCGTCATTAAATTAACTTAGAAGGGTTGGGGGGAGTGATTGGTGCATGGTGATACAGGGTTTCTTTTAAACCTTTTGACGGGGAATTTAGTTTTATTTAATATCACCAAAGGAAATGCTTGAATTTTTACAGGTAACTTAAAGCTTTATTGTAAGATCGTCATTAAATTAACTTAGAAGGGTTGGGGGAGTGATTGGTGCATGGTGATACAGGGTTTCTTTTAAACCTTTTGACGGGGAATTTAGTTTTATTTAATATCACCAAAGGAAATGCTTGAATACAATCTTTCTGCGCTGTTTCTACTAGCCTAACCTAACTACAGGATCTGAAAATGAAATGTTCAGTGAAATCCGGCCGAATTGTGGCTCGTAAAAACAGGCTAGTCTTTTAACATGATAAATAGTAAAAAAATGCTCAAGGCGTTTGTTTTTATAAATGAATAGCCGAATTCACAGGAATTTGAGGATTGCTCGGGGTAAAAGCGTACGTAAAACTCGGCTGCGGTGACTAATGTGGCCTTCCACTCAATGCATCGGAAAGGATATCAGATTAAGCTCTTAGTTGTTAAATCGAAGGGTGGCTGATATGGCTTGCTTCACTACCATGACCGGGGAAAGTTGTGATCAGCTAGCCACGATGGACCGCAGCATGAACGCAGTCTCTCGTACACCGTCATGATTTGTGAAAATTTTTAACGGTCATGCCAGGGTGGTTATATTTCTCATCAGTCCTGTTTTTTCTGTTTTATTCTGCTTTGTTCTGTTTTGTTTTGAACAGGAAACTATATATACTATACGAGTGATAGCTGTGTTCAAATTTTTACCACTATACATACTTAAGTGATGAGCGTGAAAAACTTCAAAACTCGGCCTGACAGTTTATATCGTTTTCCGTCTCAGCTCAAGTTATAATTTCGTCAGTACGGCGCTTGGCATGTTTACAAACTTTTGTCTGGTGCCTATGTTGCTACTGGCCGGCTCGCTCGTTCCTATATTTCACCTCCTATTTCCGTGCAATTTGTGCTGTTACCTACAAGTTTTTCGATATCAATTGAAGCTAAGAGCTCGGTTTTATGTTCGTGATACAGGCCATGCAAGACTTATCGATCAATTAACAAAAAAAGCTAGCGAAGTCCGGGAGATCGTCGGGCATTTTATAAGTTGGCAGATGGCAGGACTGCTTTATCTGACTGAGCTCCGTATTTTATACTCTGATAAAACATGCTTTTTCAACCAATGAGAGCGCACTTTATACCCGAACGTTATTATAATATGGATTAATCCACTTTATCTTTGTCATATTATCGTCTTTATATCGTCAGAAAGTTTTTTCTCTTAGTTATCAAGATGCAAACAACAGAACTTTGTTCTGCTATACTGCTTCGCTCAAGTGGCTTGGTATTCGCCTCGATTATCTAAGTTCACTCCTGGTTACTGTTGTAACTTTAGCCGCCATTTTTCTTTCTGGTGATACAGGTAAATGACTTTTTCTCTTTTCTAACATATTTCGTAGTCATTCTTCGCTTAGTGCCTATGACTGAGAGAGAATTCTTAGAGGATCAATATTATACAGCGAAGAGTGATAAAAATAGTGAAATTGTCTTATAAACTAGAAATTCCTTTCAAGCTCTTTTTGATATAAAGACCCCAAAGGGCAAACCACAATATATTCTCGGATTCTTGCAGATCGGCGGCTGATATTTCTTCCGTTCCTCTTCCTCTATTTTCTATCGGTAGGAACTTTTCAATTTTAAGTGATATGAGAATTTCTTCTTTCTGCCAGTATTTTATTTTTCTTTAGAGAAGGATCATCCATCTCGGCCTCAGAGAACTTCACAAATCTATCGCTAGCCATTTATCACTGACCGTTTCTTCAATCAACTGCTCATTGCATTTCACGTGTGATGTGTTTGCCAGTAATTTAATTTTATTGCATTTTCTCAGCTTTATCAGGCTTATCAATGAGCTATTGTCTGCATCTCACCAACACAGTTTAGTGGATGCTGCAGGCCATCGGAGAAACGGAGAAGTACATGACGTCCGTCGAACGAGTTTTGAGCTACACGCAACTTCAACCGGAGCCAGGCTACGATACAATTATCCCACACGCTCCCAGGGATTGGCCTGAAAATGGTTGCGTCACTTTTCGAAACGTGTCTTTGAGCTATTTCCTAGTGGGTCCTCCTGTCTTGAAAAATATTAGCTTTAGTGTCGCCGCCGGTGAGAAAATAGGTATTGTTGGACAGACTGGCGCTGGAAAGTCGTCAATTATAGCTTGTTTGTTGCGCATGCCCGCAAAAACCGAAGGAGAAATCATAATCGATGGAATTTGTGTTGCTGATCTCAACGTCCAGGATGTTCGCATCGCGATTGCAGTCATTCCTCAGAGTCCTTTCCTGTTCAATGATGTGCTTCGTCGAAGTCTTGATCCAGCTGACAAATTTACTGATGAAGAGTTGTGGGACATTTTGGACAAAGTGAAACTGAAGTCGACTGTGGTTAATAGAGATGGACAACTTTACTGTCACGTGACAGAAAATGGAGCTAATTTCAGTGTTGGAGAGCGGCAGTTGATCTGCTTCACTCGCGCTCTTTTGCTCGGTAAAAAAGTTATTGTGATGGACGAGGCAACATCCAGTGTGGATACAAAAACGGATGAACTGATACAAAGTATCTTTTGTAAAGAGATGAATCATTGTACTGTTTTGACAATTCCCCATCGTCTGAGTACTGTATCTGATTATGACCGAATAATAGTGCTCAGCGAAGGGACAATTATCGAAATGGATTCTCCTAAGATTTGACTAAGAAATGAGCTCAGTTGTTTTTACAAGCTATATCACAGTGTGAAGTCATAAAGTTTTCTCAAAATTAGCTTTAAAGTACGATCATGTCAAGTAAGATTCCCGCTTAAAAAAAAAAGGTTAGAAAGCGTAAAGATGTGAACTACATGTAATTAGTAATTATATGCTGTTAAATTGATTTTTTTTATACCAATCGACCCCCACTAAAAGTTTGTATTGAAGAATTTCTCCACATTTTGTTCGCGGTAAGGTACTTCATATTATTCTCAAATCGATAAAGTTTGTTGATCGTCATAAGCATGTAGATAATTACCAAAAGAGACTTTGTGTTTTGGTCATTTTGAGTTAAAAGCCAAAGTAGGCAGAAGACGAAGTGTTTTTTTTTCTTTTCAGGTCAGATTGTTAAACAGCTTGGTCTCAGTTGCCATGGTGATTATAATTATTTCAGTGTTCAATGTAATACTCTCGTATCTTTTCGCAGTTTCTTTTGTTTGTTTTTTTCAGTCTGTCAACAGTCAATCCCTAAAACCAAACTAAATAATGGAGCTGCTCAAAATGATCCCTGCAACAAAACAATAAATCCACATGCTTGTTACACGTCATATATATTTTATTCACCAGCCGGGAGGTCCTTATAGGTGGTGCATGTTCTAGAAAGGTGCGTTGTAGTTGAGGCAATTGCTCAAACTAAACCTGCAAAAAAAAAAAAAGTCTCATGAAGTTTACACGGTGAGACCAAAAGTCTTCAGGGTGCCAAATTATAGTTTAGTTTTTTTTTTTTTTTTCTAACAAGCAAACAACTTCAACTTTATTCAATATTATCAAGCCTAATAATAATTAATATAGTCTTTCACTACTGAAACTGGATTACAGGATCTTTACGAACAAGGAAATTTATTAGGCTATTAAAAAAGGAAGAATGTTCTTAGATTTCCGAAGTCGAAGGCTTAGACGGCACAGGTCAACGAATCCAGAATGTGTGGTTGGATTAACGTTGAGTTTAACATAGGTAGAGGGTTGATCAGTTTCTTTTAAGAATTTGATCGATTTTGTAGCGAGATGTCTGGAAAGCGCCCTCACACATAGGAAGAGAGACGCATATTCACTTAGCTCCAGATTCAGTCGAGGATTTCTTGGCTCGTCTCGCGGAACTTTATCTGTATGAGGACACAATAGCAATCGACACAAGAGAGATGATTGATAATCAAGATATATGTTGTCACAGAAAGCGATTTCGACAACTGATATCACACATTGGATGAGGTAAAATGGCAATATGGAAAAATTAAGTAACTTGTATCTCAAAGAATTGTAGTCTTATTCAAGAACAAAAAACAAAAAACGATGACGAGAAAGTAATTAGTTAAGGAATAATGGCACGAAATGGCAATTCTATACCCTATATCGGGAGAGTGGGGCCAATACTTGTAAAAGTAATACTTTGATTCTTAATCCGTTCACAAATCCATTTACTTTTTCTCAGCGGGTACGGTGACGCATCCTGCAATCTGATTGGCTCTTAGTCCGGTCCGGATCTTCCTATCTCTGCCCACGGGCAACGGTAACGTTCTCGTAAGTTGTCGAGTGCATCCCTTCCTCCGTTACCATTTTTCATAAATATATCCCGTTTCGCCTACTAGGCATATTTTCAAGCAACGCATATTTTAGCAAATCAAGCCGATTAATAACTTTTCTAATTATGTCTTTTCTCTCTCTCAAATTACATTGGTTGCCAGCAAAAAAGTTGTCTTCGAAATGAAGTTGCTATAGCAAACCGTTTAATTAACTTGAATCCTTCATAATAAGTAACTAAAAAAGCTGAAATCGAATTTTGAATTGAATTTATTGATGCAATTTTCATTCATTTAATATCTGAATTCTCTAAAACAAAATTTTCGCTATAAAACGGTGAGTCAAGTTTTCAGTCCTATTACGAATACGCTTTCAGTAAGTCTTTGCAAGTCTGTTCAACTTAGCAATTTGTACCGTAAATCGCACAGCAAAAACCGAAGGAATTCAGCAAAAAAAAACCGCTTTAAATTTCCTTGGGTCTAGTGAAAGTGTAACATTTGACTTGGGTTTTTCGCTAGGAGAAAAATGTAATTTCCGACGTTTGAGTGACACGGCAACGAATCAGTCACAAATTAATATTCTGATGGCACGTTAAAGAGGTTTGCGTAATATCATGGAAATTTCGGATTATTTAAGCGTTTCACGGGAAAATGAAGTCGGTCTGTCCTATGTTTGACCATTTTCTTCTACAGAAATGTGCAGGTATTTAAAGTAGTGCATGGCCACGAAATGTACCAAAGGATCTACAAAATACTTGCAAGTCTTTCCGGACTGGAGAGACCAAAACAGAATTATTCCTTACAATATCAAGGGATTTTCAAGGAGACAGCTACTGAGAAGAAAGAGAGGCATCAAGGAAAGGATAATGTTTCATTTTGTATAAAATTCGTACAACTGAAATTTTGAGAAACATATTTGGGAGAACTGTTATCTAAATTATGGAAGCGGAGGTGGTGTTACTAAGGGAGTGAAGTTCTCTTCTGTTCCTCCGTTGAAAATTGCATATATGCAAAAACATGCATATTGGAATTGAAATCATCCTGACTAGAACGAAGAAAACTTCAGAAACCCAAAAAATGATTAAAATGACAATTTTTGGGATTGAGAGGTACTAAAATTGACAAGGAAATGCATTTTAAGGTTTACTAGAGGCCAGTCCCAAACGTTCAAATTTGGAAGGCTATGCACCAACGAGAAACTGGAAGTAAGACCCAAGCTAGTGGAGGAGCAACGCCGGAACCTTTTCAAAGTTATGGAATTTTGCAAATCCCTTTTATAAAAAATTTCGCGGCGAAATGCAAATGAGTTTCAGAGGGGGTTCTGAACAAAACTATGAAAATAACAACGTCAGCCCAACTATCCAAAACAAAACAAATTTTAAAACTTTGTAAATGTTGCATCTGCTTTAAATCCTAGCCTTACCTGGGTCTTGATTTTAGGACAGTTTTCAAATATTTCAATGAACACAACGTGAGGTAAGTTTGAGGTCCTTGTGAACGGCGGGTGATTAGTCCTATAATAGAGACAATAACTTATGTTATTATTAGAGAAAAATTATGTTAAAAACCTTCGTTGGTTAGTTTATAACATATCGATCCCAAACTTCAATGCAAAGTTACCAACTCAAGGGTTCTCTTTCAAGCAAAGATAAAGAATCCTTTCTAGCTGGGCATTTTTCACTAATTCTTTTGCAATTACTTTAATTTTTAACCACATATCAGCGTATTATGCAAAAAAGGATCAGTGAACTTTGGCGCTCTATCACTTCACTGTGTGTTGATGAATTAGCGTTTACCACACCATTTGCCACTCACTGAAGCGTGTCTGTGAACGAAAAATTCAACCAAGTATATCACTAGCGAGATACATTTTATCATCATAGCCGCAATGAATGCTGTATCACCAGTGTTTAGATGTTTTTTTTCTTTGCGAATGTCTTGAAAACATTTATCACGGGAGAGTGTTCGGTGGCTCACAGTTTTATATGTATAATTCGCTATTTTTTATGATTAAAAGTTTTACTGGCGGGAAAACTCATTCATGCAGAAAGAATAATCCCTCATCAAGACTTTGTAGTCTATATACCACCCATGCCCGTTTCATACACCTTCCATGCGAAAAAAAAATTTGCATCCTACAGAACAGTTTGATATTTGTTATACACCCCTATGGAAAGGCCACTGGACCTATTTGAAAACCTGGAATGATGTTTCCTTAAATCCTTTCATAAACGAAGATTTTGGAAATGCCGCCTCCTCTTTATACCCCAGCCTGAATGTAGGTGTCGTAGCCTCTTGACGGTTTGAACATACTTCAGAATAGCTTGACTGTTGTTATATTCGGTTGTTTAACCGAGAGTATTCTCCTCAACCCCCTCTGCTTAACTCATTTGCATTTAAATTAATTTTTATTCACGGTTCATAATTTGTTGTGATAATCCGCTAGCCTTTGTCTTTCCAATTGGAAACCTTGACCGAGTGTGATAAAGAGTCGTAAAAATAGAAGTGTGTTTCAGTTGATTAATTCGACGTCCCTACACACACACTGTTCTTACAGTGAACAAGAGATCATCAAGGCTGTTGCTGAGCTGGTAAGTACGTTTTGAACTTTCGTGGGAGATGTACAATAATGATATTGACAACAATATAAAATCCTTTCTGTGAGTGTGACAGACCCTTGCAGTTGAGAGTTGTTTATCAGTGGAGGTCAGCATGTTTGTAGATTTAGAGCCCTCTACGGGAAATGACACGATATAAAGCAAAAACTGAGAACTTCATGTTATCATTACCCTTCGCTTTGTGTGGCGCATTTTACTGTGTACAAAATGGAGATTTTGGCGGGCTGAATTATATTTTAGCCCCTTCTTACGCTCTCTTTATACCCCAGCCTGAATTTAGGTATCGTTGCCTCTTGACGGTTTGAACATACCTCAAAATAGCTTGTTCTATTCTTTTTGTTTTTTTTTAGTTCATAATTTCTCAATGCCCTCCGATGTTGTAATAATAGTAATACAGTTTATGTTCCTTGGCATAAATATGCTTTGGGCCCCTCTCAGCGTTCATTTTAACCCTCACACAACAGCTCGCGTTAAAATGACACTCAGTCGGGCTTAAAAAATAACTCATGCTCGCCAACATAAACTCTATGGGCTGGTTTTTTTAAACAAAGTTTAGCCGTTGTTTAGCGAATCGAAACCGCGTCCTGAACAATTCTCAATTTGGCTGGACCTTGCATCTAAACATATATTTTTATGAATGGTGTCAAGACGGCCAAAAGCTAACAGTTGAAGGATATCTACTTTATTGAATCGACCCTCTTACAGATAAAACGTTAGGCCCACTAATTTCGTAAAACCATGGTTTGAGTTAGACCACGTGTTAATTATCAGCCCTATTGGTGTACTAAAAGATATTTTGCCACGTATAAAT